CATTTCCTCTAAGATCAGGAACAAGACAAGGTTGCCCACTCTCACCACTATTATTCAACATAAGTTTGGAAGTTTTAGCCACAGCAATCAGAGAAGAAAAAGAAATAAAAGGAATCCAAATTGGAAAAGAAGATGTAAAGCTGTCACTGTTTGCAGATGACATGATACTATACATAGAGAATCCTAAAGATGCTACCAGAAAACTACTGGAGCTAATCAATGAATTTGGTAGAGTAGCAGGATACAAAATTAATGCACAGAAATCTCTTGCATTCCTGGACACTAATGATGAAAAATCTGAAGCAGAAATTAAGGAACACTCCCATTTACCATTGCAACAAAAATAAAAAAATACCTAGGAATAAATCTACCTAAGGAGACAAAAGACCTGTAAGCAGAAAACTATAAGATGCTGATGAACAAAATTAAAGATGATACAAACAGATGGAGAGATATACCACGTTCTTGGACTGGAAGAATCAACATTGTGAAAATGAATCTACTACCCAAAGCAATCTACAGATTCAATGCAATCCTTATCAAACTACCAATGGCATTTTTCACAGAACTAGAACAAAAAATTTCACAATTTGTATGGAAACACAGAGGACCCTGAATAGCCAAAGCAATCTTGAGAAAGAAAAATGGAGCTGGAGGAATCAGGCTCCTGGACTTCAGACTATATTACAAAACTACAGTAAGTAATCAAGGCAGTATGGTACCAGCAGAAAAACAGAAATATAGATCAACTGAACAGGATAGAAGCCCAGGGATAAACCCACACACATACGGTCACCTTATCTTTGATAAAGGAGGCAACAGTATACAATGGAGGAAATACTGCCTTTTCAATAATTGGTACTGGGAAAACTGTACAGCTACATGTAAAAGAATGATATTAGAACACTCGCTAACACCATACACAAAAATAAACTCAAAATGGACTGAAGACCTAAATGTAATGCCAGACACTATAAAACTCTTAGAGGAAAGCATAGGAAGAACACTCTGACATAAATCACAGCAAGATCCTTTTTGACCCACCTCCTAGAGAAATGGAAGTAAAAACAAAAATAAACAAATGGGACCTAATGAAACTTAAAAGCTTTTGCACAGCAAAGGGAACCGTAAACAAGATGAAAAGACAACCCTCAGAATGGGAGAAAATATTTGCAAACAAAGCAACTAAGAAAGGATTAATCTCTAAAATATACAAGCAGCTCATGCAGCTCTATATCAAAAAAACAAACAACCCAATCCAAAAATGGGCAGAAGACCTAAATAGACATTTCTCCAAAGAAGATACACAGATTGCCAACAAAGACAAGAAAAGATGCTCAACATCACTAATCATTAGAGAAATGCAAACAAACTACAATGAGGTATCACCTCACACCAGTCAGAATGGCCATCATCGAAAAATCCACAAACAGGGCTCCCAGGTGGCGCAGTGGTTGAGAGTACATCTGCCGATGCAGGGGATGCGGGTTCGTGCCCCGGTCCGGGAAGATCCCACATGCCTCGGAGTGGCTGGGCCCGTGAGCCATGGCCCCTGAGCCTGCGCGTCCGGAGCCTGTGTTCCGCAACAGGAGAGGCCACAACAGTGAGAGGCCCGCGTACTGCGAAAAAATAAATAAATCTACAAACAATAAATGCTGGAGAGGGTGTGGAGAAAAGGGAAGCCTCTTGCACTGTTGGTGGGAATGTATATTGGTACAGCCACTATTGGAGAACAGTATGGAGGTTCCTTAAAAACTAAAAATAGAACTACCATACGACCCAGTAATCCCACTACTGGGCATATACCCTGAGGAAACCATAATTCAAAAAGAGTCATGTACCACAATGTTCATTGCAGCTCTATTTACAATAGCCAGGACATGGAAGCAACCTAAGCGTCCATCGACAGATGAATGGATAAAGAAGATGTGGCACATATATACAATGGAATATTACTCAGCCATAAAAAGAAACGAAACTGAGTTATTTGTAGTGAGGTGGATGGACCTAGAGTCAGTCATAAAGAGTGAATGAAGTAAGTTAGAAAGAGAAAAACGAATACCGTATGCTAACACATGTATATGGAATCTAAAAAACAAAAAGTGGTTCTGATGAACCTAGGGGCAGGACAGGAATAAAGACACAGATGCAGAGAATGAACTTGAGGATATGGGGAGGGGGAAGGGTAAGCTGGGACGAAGTGGGACTTATATATACTACCAAATGTAAAATAGATAGCTAGTGGGAAGCAGCTGCATAGCACAGGGAGATCAGCTCAGTGCTTTGTGACCACCTAGAGCGTGGGAAGGGGAGGGTGGGAGGGAGGCGCAAGAGGGAGGGGATATGGGGATATATGTATATGTATTGCTGATTCACTTTGTTATAAAGCAGAAACTAACACACCATTGTAAAGCAATTATACTCCAATAAAGATGTTAAAGGAAAAAAGAAAGAAAAAAACTTCCGTATATCACATACAGCAGTATTAATTATGTTTGTCGTGTTGCACATCTGTAGTACCTCTTTATCTTATAATTGGAAGTTTGTTCCTTAGGGGTTTTAGTTGTTGTTTGTTCTCTGAACTCCTATTTTATTTGCATTCTGGGTTTTTTTTTTTTTTTGAGGTTGCAATATCCCTCTGATATCTGGAGGATATTAATAACTTGGGGGGGGGAGTTTTCTTCCTCTTGTATAGTCTCAGTTCTCTGCAAGTAGCTCTTTCATATTAAAGGCTCTCTTCAGATATTTTGTAATACTTGCTGTCTGCTTATACTTGACAGTGAGGACCAAATAGCTGATTTGAAGCTTTGTTCACATGAGTGGAGCTTACCAATTGTGAGCTTCATAGGAGGGCAGTCTGGCTAGGCTGTTTCCTTGGGTGACCCTGATGTAAGTATATTTCCTCTGGACTGGTTCATTTCCCCAGAGAATCCTCCCTGTCTGTGTTCTGGAAGGTGAGGAGGGGAAGATCCCTGAGGAGTCTTGGCACCAGTAATCTCACTGTCTCTCAGTCTTCCCACTTGGAACCACAGTCTAGGGACTCAGTGTTTCATCTTCCTAGAGAATAAATCCAGTCTTCTGCCAGGAGGGGAGAGAGCAGTTCAAAGACTGTTCAGGGTATGGTGGGGATCCTGCAGATGTACTTACTTTTTAAACTGCTTTCAACCAATTCTCCTTGTTTTAATGCCAATTCCCAGCCCCCTTGCCTTACCTCCACGGTTAAAATTTCCTGGTGCCACCAATTACTGAGACTTTGAAGGTGTAAATTGTGCTGGTTTTACATTTCCTCACTGCTGACTTCAAATTCAGCTTTCTTCAGTCTGCTCGATCAGTTAAAACTAATCTAGTTGATTTCCAGCTCTCAAAATTTTGTGGTTTTGTCCTCTCCCCTTCTCACCATCCTTACAGGTTCATGTTAAATACAATTGCTTCATTGTTGTTTTTTGGGTTTCCAGGAGTAAAATGAGATGTCTGTGTTCTCTCTCTCATTAACCCTCTACTCTGGCTCTGACTCCACCCCTCCACTTGATGTCACTCGTACCAAGTTCACCAGGGACCTCTCCTTCTCAAATGTGGTGGGCTGTCTTTCACCCTCGACCTAGCCTCTCAGCAGCCTTAGTCAAAACTGAATACTTTCGGGCTTCCCTGGTGGTGCAGTGGTTGAGAGTCCGCCTGCTAATGCAGGGGACACGGGTTCGTGCCCCGGTGCGGGAAGATCCCGCATGCTGCGGAGCGGCTGGGCCTGTGAGCCATGGCCACTGAGCCTGCGCGTCCGGAGCCTGTGCTCCGCAACGGGAGAGGCCTCAGCAGTGAGAGGCCCGCGTACCGCAAAAAACAAACAAACAAAAAACAACAAAAAAACCTGAATACTCTCTTACTTCCTGCACACGCAGACTGGAGTTAGCACACGGCACGACCCCAGGATACCCAGAGACCTCAACAGCGTGAACTGTGATGAACTTGGACCACTGCCACCCGGTTGGGAAGTCCAGAGTACAGTTTCCGGGAGAATATATCTTGTAGATCATGATAACCAAACAACTCAGTTTACAGAGCCACGGTTACACCGCATCATGAACCACCACTGCCAACTAAAGGAGCCCAGCCAGCTGCCGCCACTGCCCAGTGAGGGCTCCATGGAAGATGAGGCGCTTCCCGCCCAGAGAGATGAGAGAGATTTAGTCCAGAAACTGAAGGTCCTCAGACATGAACTTTCACTTCAGCAACCCCAAGCTGGTCATTGCCACATGGAGATATCCAGAGAAGAAATATTTGAGTATCACTTGCCGTGTGCTGCAGGTTCTCTTCTCTCGGCTTCTGGGACACCACACCTGTTTGGTTTCCCTCCCACTCTCTGCTCTCCTCTTCTCAACTTTCTTCTCAAGTTCCTTTTCCCCTACCCATCCTCTACAGAGTGGTTTCTTCAAGGTTTGATCCCAGGGCATCCTCTCTTCTCCCCTCTACACTCAGGGAATCTCTCACTTTTGTTCTTGGCTCCGACACCCACCTTCCTTTGACTTGCCGTCTTCTCTATCCAGTTGCCTATTTATCTCCCAAGCATGTTTAAGTTCAAAGGAGCCAAAACGGAACTCTTTCACTGGGAGATTTTTGATTACTGATTCAATCTATTTACTAGTAATTGGTCTATTCAGATTTTCTATTTCTTCCTGACTCAGTCTTGGTAGGTTGTATAGTTCTAAGAATTTTTCCAATTCTTCTAGGTCATCCAGTCTGTTGATATATAGTTATTCATATGATCTTTTGTTTTTCTGTGATGTCAGTTGTCATGTCTCCTTTTATTTTTATTTATTTATTTTTAAATATTTATTTATTTGGCTGCTCGGGTCTTAGTTGCGGCATGCGGGATCTTTAGTTGCAGCATGTGGGATATTTTAGTTGCAGCATGTAGGATCTAGTTCCCCGACCAGGGATCGAACCCAGGTCCCCTGCATTGGGAGCATGGAGCCCTAACCACTGGACCACCAGGGAAGTCCCTAATGTCTCCTTTTACATTGATAATTTTGTTGATTTGCAAAGCAGAATTCCTGATATTTTTCTCTAAATTTATTCCTCATCAAGTCTTGTTACCAAGTTCAAGCTCATACTGCTCATTGCACGACAGGCCAATAAATTAAGAGATGAGCTGTTGGGGCAAGGAATAGCGACTTTATTTGGAAAGCCAGCAGACCAAGAAGATGGTAGACTAATATCCCAAAGAACCATCTTCCCCGAGTTAGAATTCAGGCTTCTTTCACACTAAAAGGGGAGGGAGTAAAGTCCTGGTTCCAGCCAAACTCCGGAGGGGATGTATTAATTTCTTCCTTCATGCAGCCATTCCTGGTAGGACTGGCCAGAGTGTTTCCTGTGAGCTAAACAAAGGTATTTTAGCTTAATGCTCATTATCTGGGAGGCAGGATTCCTAGAGATGGGCTATTAAGTATAATTTAAGTTCATAGGCAACATCCCTTTAGCGATTAACTTGTAATAGAATACAAAGTTTCTTTCCTGTTATAGTCTCCCACATCTACCCAAATATGCAAGCAGAAATCAGAGTCGTTCTTGTTTTCTCCCTCTTCCTTACCCCAACATCCAAAGCATCAGCCAGCTTTCTTGACTCTTCCTCCGTAATGTGTCTCAAATTGATCCATTTTCTCCATCCTCATTGCTACCACGTTAGTCTATAAGCGACTGTCATCTCTTGCCTTGACTCTTGCAAAAATGTCCAAACTGGTCTCCCTACTTTTTCTCTTGGCTCTCTAAAATCTGTCCTCCACACAGGTGATCTTTTAAAAACCAAAGGTTATTCTCTCTTCTGATAAAAATACTTTGCATTGCTCTTAAAACAAAATCCAAACTTCTTACCATGGTCTACAGCAGACACCATGGTTTTTCTACTGGGCACCTGTTATTTCTCTGGGTGCATATACTTCTTCTGGGTACCAAGTCTCCTGCCAGGACATTGGAGCCCTAGAGGTGCCAAAGCACATATCTCTCTTATTTTTGTGTATGTTTCATCTGGTTGGTTGAGTGCAAGGGAGGGAACTCTATGCCCTAACAGCAAACATCTTTTGAGTGAAACTGTTGTCTAGTTTTGCTTACATCCTCCTCCTTTCTATAGGATTTGGACACAAGTTCACAGAGGAGGGGAGTTTGGGAGACCAGGGGCATGAGGAGGGCAAGAGGTGACTTTTAATAACAGCACTGGGACGCACTAGGAACCATCCGTCTTTCTGATAGCAAAGACCTTGCTCTTTGAGCCAGCTTGCTTTCCCCAAATCGTCCTCCCAAGAGGCTTCTCAGCCTCTCAAGCAAATAGAGCCACCCAAGCCTATGTCTAGATAGATTTAGATATATTTGAACAATTTAGCTTTACACTGTTCCCCACCACAATCACCTGCTTTTCAAAAACTCTGTAATCACTCCAGGCCCTGCCTTTCCCCCCTAAAATATCTGCATACATGCTCGAGGGACCAAAAGAAATACACTGTTCTTTCTGTATGGGGCTTCTTAGTAAATGCACCTAAAAAAAATCCTGAAGTTCTATTCTTATTTGAGATGCTTTGTTAAGAGTGAAAACACCTGCTCTCTGGCCTGTGTGATAGCAGCAATTCTCTGAGATTCGGAAATGAGTTGCTTGCTGGTTAGCTGAGAACCTGAAATTCACATCAATTCATTCAGCCTTATGAAAGAATCTAACCGAGGTAAAATCAATTAATGCAGATAATTCAAACATTCTACCAGCCCACACGTAATGTTTTGCTAGCTCATTTCTCCCCAGCGCTGCCAGGATCACACCCTATGCAACACAGATAATAAACAAAATCAAATCGTCGCTCTCATATTTGTGGCTTGTTCCTGGATTTGGTCTCATGGTTGTTTATGAGGGAGTCCTAAACTGTGGAAGGAGTATTTTTCACCCTATTTCCAGTAACTGTTCTATTTTTCTCAATCCTAGATAGGATTACTCACAGCATAGACGCTGCTTGGAACTGGTAAATTTCTCCCACGGCCTTTTTAATCTTCATTTTTCTCCTGTGAACAGTAGGAGAACACACATAGCTTTCCCGCAGTGGGGTTGCCCTTGGAGAAGACCTTGCAGGCTCTCCACCCTGGAGCCATGACATACGCAGCTACTTAGATGTTTGCAGGTCGCCAGCCCAGGTGAACAGCTCTCAAGTGTGAGATCAGCATTGTGATCAGTGAGTGCATGGACTTTGGGTCATAAAGACCTGGGTTTAACTCTTAGCTTTGGTGTTATGGTTGACATTGGATAAGACACTTAGCCCCCCTAGGTCTCAGTGTTCTCATCATGACAATGGGGCTTTTAATGGCACCTACCTCTTAATGTTGCTGTGAAGAGTAAATGAGCTAATCCATGTTCAAAGTGCTTATTATACAGAGACTGGGACATATAAGTTCTCTGTAAGTGTTGGCTATCATTAGTCACAGGAGCTGTCCCCCCAAGTATACCCGTTCCAGCCTGGAAGCTGTCCGTGCGCAGCCAAGGGCCATCTGATCCACCGTCTATCAGAAAGCTGTTCTTGCGGGGATGGACACCAGCCAGTAGGCCCGGTCAGTTTCCATGGTCACCTCTGGGTGCAAAAGGCAGCTGCCTCTGGGCAGAAACTTGTACCTGTCTATGAGCTCTCTGCCTGTCTGGCCAGAAGTGGAGACACCAAGAAAGGGAGAGGGGCCTCTGTACTTTCGGAGTCCCATTGGGGGTTAACTTAGCTTGTCCCCACTCTTTGTCTTGCTCTGAGGATGCCAGGGCTTTAAGGACACTGTGAGAGAGCAGGTCCAGGCAGCCCAGCAATGTCAAAAACTGGACAGAAAGAAGACCCGGCTGTCCCAGTCAGTCAAGGAACAACAGTGACAAGAATAAAACATTTTTAAGGATTAAAATCATAGCTGCCATCTCTTGAAGACTTGCTGTGTTAGGACTTGTGTTCAGAACTTTCCAAGCACCGTGCCCTCTTTCCAACAACACTGTAAGGCCAGTACCATGCTTATTTCCATGTCATAAATGAGACCGAGGCACAGAAACATGCTTGTGGTCTCACAGTTAGTAAGTGTCAGAGCCAAAATTTGAACACAGGTTTGTTTGAAGGGGAAAATGCACAGAACATTCTAAATCCTTGGTTTACCTACCCCCCAGCACAGGCAGAGTCGGGTGAACCTCCCTAATGGACAGTGCACCGGGAGCTTCAAGCATCTGGACAAATTCCGCCTTCAAAATGCCCCATGGGCTCTCTCGGCTTCTTTTCATCAGCTCCTGAGCTGCCAGCTCTCTGCCGAGGCAGCGCTTTCACTGGATTATTACAAATGAAAGACCTGATTGTCTGTCCTGCTCTTTTTTTTCCTTCCCCTATTTACTATAATCAGGAAGTCATGTTTTTCATTTAGGGTAAGGCAATTACTTTTCTGCTGACTGAAGACTAGCAGAAAGCAAACTGAGCCTCCTTTCTACATTAATTTTATGGGGACAGGATTGAGAGATGGCCTGACTTTCCAGGGTCTCACCCCCTCTCTTCTAGGTCTATTCCTTATCTGATGAAGGCATCAACCACAACAGCCACCACCGAAATGGCATTGACAGTGTAAATGACTGTGGTCCTTTTCCCCTCACCTGGGAAATGATGAATAAAAGTTGCCATCTGCTGCCCTGAGCTCTGCTGGGGTGTGATCTAACTTTATACCTAGGTCTAGTTAACGGTCTGCCTCGCCTGAAGGAGAAGTGTAATAAATATGAAAATCAATTTGTATTTTTTCACTTGCCTGGGACTCATTTTTATTTGCTCTGCCTGCAGAGGCAAGCAACTCTTTGCAAAGGGAAATGAACAAGACACACCGCCTCTCTTTAGTGATCAGAAGTCCAGGTTAACTGTGATATGATTAAGCAAACAGCAAACAAAAATGGTCTGAAAGTGCTTTCTTTTCTTTCAGAGAAAGAATCTCAATTATCTAGCCTACTCTGTGCTAAGTGAACATTTCTGAGAACCTTCAAGAGCCCCAAGAAACAAGTTGCCTCCATTTTCCAGGCCACGGTCAGAGGTGAGGAGAACTTTCTGTTCCACATCTTTGAGCTTTGCCTCAGAAACGCAAGCCCCGGAAGTGCAGAGGATGATATTATTAATTCAGCCAGTACAATGTTAGAAGACATAGATCATGATGACTCTAAAGGCTCTTAAGAATATCTAATGCTATGTGGATATTTTATCAAGACCTTCTCTGGGTTTTCAGAATTCTCTTTGGAAGTAGTACTGTGTGAGTATGCCTTTCTGGATCTATTCTCACCTCTAATTCAGTACCCCTCTTTTCCAACTATCACAATCTACAATTTGAAGTTGTTCTGACAATTAAAAAACTCACCCGTCCACCTCATCATCACCAGATTTTCCTCTCCAGGCCATTTCCAGTAGACTGTGGCTCATATTCCTTTGTGAGAGAACAAATTGGTTATTCCTTACATCTTACTAATGAGCAGTGCTACACAGGAAGGAAGCATAATGAAATCAGAAACTCGGAAATACCCGCAACTGCTTTGTCCCGGGTTTTTATTCGGGGTATGATAAAGTGCCACGGGACATTGATTCAGGCACTGAGACAGATTTTGAAGTTATTGAAAGAACTTGCTGAATTTCTTTAGAATTAACCCAACGGAGCAGACCTCTCTTCTCATGAGAATTATTTGGTTTAAAGATTAGTGGAGGGAGAATTTAGTGTTTCATTTCACATTTAAATTTCATTTCCTATATAAATGTTTTGTGGTATCATATTTAATTACTTTTATTTTCCAAAATTCCCTTTTTCACATTTTCTAACCTCCTCAACCAAGTCAAAAACCCATTTCCCCTTTTGCCATTTTAATAATGATATTTCAGTTTCCCTTTCTTGTTTCCACCGTGGTTGTCACGTTTACCCCATCTGTCTGCATCACCTGAAGTCCAGGTGCATCGTACATTTCCCCCGGGGCATGGAGTCATTCTTCAAAGGCGAGAGATGCATGAATGGGCCCACGTCAACTGGCACTGGCTGACTTTTTTTACCCAGATGCAGAGAATGGTATCAGATTTTGTCGTTTGGGGCGCTAACCTCAAGCTCTTCCTTCACGACAAAAATTACAGTTTGTAGAATAATGAGGACCTGTCAGCTAGCCAAGACTGGGGACTGGGAGGGGTGCTCAGTGGAAGCTGCTTTAATATCCTCCAGAGGGAGGGTAGGGGCTACAGTTCTGGTTTGCTCTGCTGAATCTGGAGCAGTGGAGTCCTTGCTGAGGGCTGGCATTCTGGCCTAAAGAGACTTACCTGGGGTCTGCCCTGGAGGCCAGAACTATTGCTGCTATTGCTCTTCCTCTGTATTACTTTTTTTCACTTGGAAAATTGAAACTTATAAGGCAGTGAATCTATCTTTACTCATTTTCAGATGACTGATCCTGATGGCAGGTTTGGGGTCCTGTGGAGCTTCTGTTCTGAACCCTGACCGCCTCACCCAAGGTCTCCTTTCCCTGGCTCACCAAAGTTTGGGCAGAGCCAAGCCCAGTGCTCCAGTTTCCATAGAAATGAGTCAGTGGTGGTGCCCACCACAAGGGGTGTTAAAGTCTCAGATATGTTATTTTGAGAATCCCATCACGTAACAAATACTACTCAGCAATAGTTTTTTTTTTTTAAGGTGTGTAAGTTTTATTTTGTACTGTCTCCTCCTTAAAAAAAAAAAAAAAAAAAAAAAAAAAAGCCTGTACGCCATACAATGTTTTTTGCCACATATTCAGGTATTTTTAAAATTTTAATATATTGACCATTATCTATCTGGCATATCGTGGCTAATACTTATTTTTAAAAAAACTTTCTGTATCACCTGGCATTAGAGTATTTCATAAAAGTATGTAGTCCAATATTATTTGTTTGTTAATCCAATCTGAAAAGCCTTCTCTTTAAATGAAGGACTTAAATACATTATTAATTATTATTATATATTTTTCCCATCTTCCTACTATAATCTAAGTCTACATTTATATTTTTAATATTAGCTTGTATCCCTGTTTTATTTTTTTTTAACATCTTTATTGGAGTATAATTGCTTTACAATGGTGTGTTAGTTTCTGCTTTATAACAAAGTGAATCAGTTATACATATACATATATCCCCATATCTCTTCTCTCTTGCGTCTCCCTCCCTCCCACCCTCCCTATCCCACCCTTCTAACTGGTCACAAAGCACCAAGCTGATCTCCCTTGGTGCTATGCGACAGCTTCCCACTAGCTATCTATTTTACATTTGGTAGTGTATATATGTCCACGCCACTCTCTCACTTCGTCCCAGCTTCCCCTTCCCCGTCCCTGTGTCCTCAAGTCCATTCTCTAGTAGGTCTGCGTCTTTATTCCTGTCCTGCCCCTAGGTTCTTCATGACAATTATTTTAGATTCCATATATATGTGTTAGCGTACGGTATTTGTTTTTCTCTTTCTGACTTACTTCACTCTGTATGACAGACTCTAGGTCCATCTACCTCACTACAAATAACTCAATTTCGTTTCTTTTTATGGCTGAGTAATATTCCATTGTATATATGTGCCACATCTTCTTTATCCATTCATCTGTCAATGGACACTTAGGTTGCTTCCAAGTCCTGGCTATTGTAAATAGAGCTGCAATGAACATTATGGTACATGACTCTTTTTGAATTATGGTTTTCTCAAGGTATATGCCCAGTAGTGGGATTGCTGGGTCGTATGGTAGTTCTATTTTTAGTTTTTTAAGGAACCTCCATACTGTTCTCCATAGTGGCTGTATCAATTTACACTCTCACCAACAGTGTATGAGGGTTCCCTTTTCTCCACACCCTTTCCAGCATTTATTGTTTGTAGATTTTTTGATGATGGCCATTCTGACAGATGTGAGATACTGCATTCAGCCATAGTTTTGAAAGGCATAATCAACTTCATTGCTCTGGATGACTTTGGCTAAGGCTTTCCAAAGTTGCAACCATCCCCACTTTAAAATAATTCATTCTTTTGTTTGTTTTTCAGCTTGATGGAAAAAGATGCCTAATTCATGCCAGTCGAGTTCTAGATTCTGAACAGATGGTTTAACACAATTTATTACACTTTATATATTACATTTAATTTATTACACTTATTCTGAAAGTTTTGGGAGAAAATTCAGTACCAGCTAGAGAGTCGTAATTAAAGGAGCACAGAGCCAAGCAGAGGCTCCAAGCCCCTATTGAAACTTCAGCTCTACCAGAGACAGCACCTTCTTCTGTGACTCTGGGTGATTCCACAAACCTCTCTGAGCTATGATTTCCTAGTTGGTAAAATCGAAGGACTGGATCAGCTGATCTCTAGGTTTTTCTGGGTTCAAAATTTCTCTGAATTTATGGCACTACATAATAGCCAGAAGAGATTCCATGAAAAAAATAGACTGTTCCTCTGCGATAATGATTTGGTAGGGATGGTGGTAAGAAATTTTGTTTTCAGGAAGGTTGATAGTAGTAACATCATAAAGGGAAGGAAGGAAAAGAAAAAAAGGCTACCATTTACCAAACTTTTGCTGTGTGCTAAGCAAATTCACAGACATTATCTCATGTGAAAACACATAATTTCGGAGATTTCCTCTGTAAGGGAGAGAGATGCCATTGTTTCTCCTTTCCCCCAAAGTGCAGTGATAGGTAACAATGATGAGTGCTTTCTATGTGCCAGGCACTCTTCCAAGCCTTTACACCTACTCACACAATTCATTATCCCCATTTACAGATGAGAAAACTGAGGCATAGGTGATAGTAACTTGTCCAAGGCTATCCAGTTGGTAAGTGGCAGCGTCAAGCTCCACACTCAGACAGTTGGGCTCTAGAATCTATATTCTTAACCACATCCCCATACTGCCTCTTGTCATTCATTCATTAAGCAAATATTTGATGAGCATTGACTACATGAAGGCATTGAATTAATCTTTCTTAAGGATTCCAAGCTAAATGAGACAACATCCTTGTCCTTGAGAAGCTTAAAATATACATGGTAGATGTTCAGAAATGTGTGTGCAATCAGTGACCACACTTAATCCGAGAACTTTACAACTATCCCCTGTTTTCTGGAAGTGTTTGCAATTCCATTCACATCAGTGGACAGTACCTGGCAAGAGGGAGCCCTGCTCCAGGCCCCTGTTCTAGAGGCCCTACTCTGGTTTTCTCTAGGGGCCAGGAATCCAGGGGCCATGGGCTGCATCCACCTGGAGTCTGGGCCTCAGCTCCTTCTAACCTCCCTTCTGGGTATCCGGGACCTTGCAATTCCCTGCCCCAAAGGCCCTGACCCTACTTCCAGAGCCTGCATTGGAAGCAAGCCCCTTGAGGGCACATTGCATCCCCCAGCCACAGACTCCTCAGCCAGCGGGGTGGCCAAAGGCAGCGATTTGTAGGAGGAGAGCGTAGATGGAACGTGGACTTGTGGGTTTACAGCGACGTGTGTCCACAAGGACTCTTGCAGATCAGGACTGACTTGGGGGCAGGGAGAGGAGTCACAGACTGGGTCAGCTTGGCCTGCTCTGCCATGTTCAGCGCAGAACTTCAAAGACTCCGAAAATTCTACTTTAGAACCTGGCCTTTCAGGTCGTTATGAAGATAACTTGTCGAGATAAGAGGATAGAACATATTTTTCCTAAGTGTGCTAACTTGGTTGATAAACCTTTAAAAAGTAGGTATGTGGTATGAGGGTTTCCATTTATACTTTTACTCGGGCCCCTTAGCCTGTCCACAGGTTTTGAATGGGCAGTTGTCTGATCTCAGCACTTTTTAGGGGTCCTTCTACATGGGGTTTCAAAGTCCTGCTGCTGCTGTGTCTACCGTCAACCCCCTCTCCTCCCAACCGGCTACCTAAGGGCCCTACAGTAGAAGCTTCTTGGCCACCGTGGAGCCTCACCTCGTCCTCCTCCCCCATCAGCTCCCTCCCACACAGTGGGTTCCATGTGCCACTATTTCAGCCACTTCCTGGTCCCTCTGTCCTTGCACATTACCTCTTCCCAGGCTTGGCTGAACCCTCACTCATCTGGAACTCGCACCCGGGTAGCTGAACTCTGCTGAGGAATCTCCACAATCAGCAGCCTCAACTGGGCTGAGGACTGCCCCCCAAAACTTACAGCTCAGTCTTTCAGTCTCTGTAATAATGATGGAATCCTTCTCTATTTTTCTCAGTCTCTGAAATCCTCTTCCACCCACTCTCAGTGGCTAACCTTGCTTCTTACTTCACAGAGAAGATAAACCCCATCCCTTTGGAGAACGCTCAACATCCTAGTTCCAAATCTGAAATCCTCCCAGCCCTCCTCCTGCACTCCTGTTACAATAGTGCAGATAGAGGTGCCCTCCTCCCACGGGGGCAATCCCATCGCACTTCTGTGGCTCTCCCCCTCCTACCCCCAGGTTTCAGTATCCTCACCTCCTCCTCTAGCCCTAAACACGCTCTAGTTTCTTCAATTAAAAAAAGAATTCTAATGCGGACTTTCCCTTCAGCTGCTACATTGCTGTCTCGTCCCTCGCCACTCCTTTACTCTTGAACCCACTTCAATTTGGCCTCCACTGCCAACATTCCACTGAACTTGACCTCCCTGATGTTAGATCCCACGGTCCGCTTCTCGGTCTCCGTGTGATGCAATCTGCCTTTTGTAGATGCACAGTCAGAACTCTCTCCTCTCTCAAGATCGTTGACGTGCCACGCTCCTCTACGATTTCCCCTCTATGGCCTTTGCTGGCTCTTTCCCTCCACTCACCCTCCAAATGTTGAACATCCTCCGTGCTCACTACCAGACTTCTCTTCCCATGCTACCTCCCTAGGATCTCACTGACTCCTATGGTCCCAGCCTGGACCTCTCTTCTGGACTCCAGCTTTGTATTTATCTAACTGCCAACTTGACATCTTCCTACACATGTCACCTGGGCAGCTCAAAGTCAACGAGATCACAATTTCACTGCACCTGCTCCCTAATCTGACTCTGATGATCCCCATTCCTGCCTCTTTTCACACTCACCACTCCAGCTTAGCCTCCTCCCAGAGCCTCAGGAAGCTGGGTTGGCAGAGTACCTTCCTGAGGTGTTAATCCACATGGGCACTGAAACATTGCTGGAATCGATCAGAAACATGATGCCGGTTCACGCAGTTTTCCATTCCTGTCTTCGGTCACTGGCAAAATGTCAATTGGCCCTATTCCCAATTGGTACCTATGTTAGATACCTTATTTAGAAGCTGAATATGTGACAAGAAAAAATGATTGTTATTTATGATCCTCCACTGCCTGGTAATGGAGGATCTTTCAAAGCTGAGTGTGGACAACATCTTCGTCCTTCAAGTCTTTGATACGCCTGAAGAAAGCGTTAAGCTGTGGTTGAAATATCAAACGAGGAGTCAGATGCTGGGACAGAGGTAAGTTGCTTCTCATAAGAAAGGGAGCAAGACGGGGGACAGGAGAGATTGAGCTGCAAGGGGTTGGGGGCGGGAGGCAGGGGCTGGGGAGGTTGAACACTAGAAAACAAGAACAGGGAAGGCCAAGCTATTTGGGGCGAGAGACATTTCTTCAGGTAGATTTCATATGCTGATGCCTCCTAAATTAATTTTCTAGCTGAGACCTCTCTCCTGAGTTCTAGACTTAGAGCCATGTGATAAGGAGAACTAGCACTTATAAAGCCACTTGTACTATTCTGGCAACTGAGCTAAGTGCTTTACCTATGTGAACTCATGTCTCAGAGGCATTGCAAATTCAACCAAAACAGTATTCCTCATCTACCTGCCATTTCCAGACCTCTCCATGCAGATAACAATACTAGTTTGCCTCTAGGATTCCTCTTCTCAGTAACTGGCAATCCTATCCACCCAACTCCTCGCATCCTCCCACATCATCGTCTCTCCCTGCGAGCCTCCTAATGCTCTCCCAGGACCCAGTCTGGCCTCTCTGCCGCCCGTTCTCCACCCACCTCCAGAGTGACAGTTCACTAAAGCAGATCTGATGCTGGCAGTGCGTGGCTTCAAGCTTACCAGTGTTTCCCATTGCTTTTAGGATGAAGTCTAAATCCCTTCCTATACTCCTTTCCATGCCTGGGCTGGCCCAGACTACTCCTGCAACTCCTCTCATGCTCATCTCATTTCCGTTGCTCACAATGCTCTGGCAGCTGAAACAAGGTGGAGAAGACCTGCTGGGGCGTCTTAAAAGGAGAAGCAAAGCCTGCAGAGGAATGGCCAGCCTGGGCCCTGGGGTTTGGCAGGCTCTGGGCTCAGCGTGAGGAGGAGGAGCCCCTGATCTTGGCTCAGTGAGTCTTTGCTCACTTCTGCATTATGGATCCTGATTAGTACCTGCCGGAGGGACGTCTAGCAGCTCTGTGCTAAACTAGATCTTCTTTAGTCCACATTACTCATTCCTACTATGTGCCAGGAATGCCCTGGACTTAGCCTACCTACTAGATGCTACATACTGAGTGCTATAGACCCTGTAACCTAGTCTACATTCTATCCATTATATAGGATATAATGAATACTATACCTATATTCTGTATACTTTATAAGATATAATAACAGTACACATTACAGTATATATACAATTGGTAATAAACAAAATGTATTAGATGGGTATTATATCTACTAGCAGTGTTTTGCCATAATAGGTATTTAGTAAATATATGTTGAATGAGGGAACATACCTCAACATAATAAAGGCCATATATGACAAACCCACAGCTAGTATCATACTCAGTGGTGAAAAGTTGAAAGCGTTTCCTCTAAGATCAGGAACAAGACAAGGATGCCCATTCTCACCACTTTTATTCAACACAGCAGTGGAAGTCCTAGCCACAGCAATCAGATAAGAAAAAGAAATAAAAGGAATCCAAATTGGAAAGGAAGAAGTAAAATTGTCACTGTTTGCAGATGGTATGATAATATATATAGAAAATCCTAAAGACCCCACCAAAAAACTATTAGAACTAATAAATGAATTCAGTAAAGTTGCAGGATACAAAATTAATATACAGAAATCTGTTGTACTTCTATTCACTAAAAATGAACTTTCAGAAAGAGAAATAAGGAAAATAATCCCATTTACAATTGTATCAAAAAGAACAAAATACTTAGGAATGATTCTAATCAAAGAGGTAAAAGACTTGGAAAACTAGACATTGATGAAAGAAATTGAAGATGACACAAATAAATGGAAAGATATACTGCACTCATGGTTTGGAAGAATTAATATTGTTAAAATGACTGTACTCTGCAAGGCAATCTACAGATTCAATGCAATCCCTATCAAAATACCAATGGCATTTTTCACAGAGCTAGAACAAATAATTCTAAAATTTGTATGGAAACACAAAAGACCCCAATAGCCAAAACAATCTTGAGAAAGAACAAAGCTGGAAGTATCATGCTCCCTGATTTCAAACTATACTACAAAGCTACAGTAATCAAAACCGTATGGTACTGACACAAAGCAGACCCATAGATCAGTGGAACAGACTAGAGAGCCCAGAAATAAACCCATGCTTATATGGTCAATTAATCTATGACAAAGAAGCCAGGAACAGAAAATGGGGAAAAGACAGTTTCTTCAATAAATAGTGTTGGGAAAACTGGACAGCTGGATGCAAAAGAATGAAACTGGACTACTTTCTCAAACCATATACAAAACTAAACTGGAAATGAATTAAAGACTTAAATGTAAGACCTGAAACCATAAAACTCCTAGAAGAAAACATAGGCAGTATGCTCTTTGACATTGGTCTTAGCAATATTTTTTTGGATCTGTCTCCTCAGCAAGGGAAAAAAAAGCAAAAATAAACAAATGGGACTACATAAAATTAAAAAGCTTTTGCACAGCAAAGGAAACTACCAACAAAATAAAAAGGCAATCTACTGAACAGGAGAAGATATTTGCAAACAATTCCAATATCCAAGATATGCAGAGGACTCATACAACTTAACATCAAAAAAAATTGAAAAATTTAAAAATGGGCAGAGGATCTGAATAGACATTTTTCCAAAGAAGACAAATAGATGGCCAACAGGCATATGAAAAGATGCGCAACGTCACTAATCATCAGGGAAATGCAAATCAAACCCACAATGATACCACCTCATATCTGCCAGAATAGCTATCATCAGAAAGACAACAAATAACAAGTGTTGGTGAGGATGTGGAGAAAAGGGAACCCTCAGGAACTGTTGGTGGGAATGTAAGTTGGTATAGCCACGATGGAAAACAGTATGGAGTTTCCTCAAAAAATTAAAAGTAGAACTACTATATAATCCAGCAATTTTACTTCTGGGTATTTACCAGAAGAAAACAAAACTACTCATTTGAAAAGATATATGCACCCCAGTGTTCGTTGCAGCATTATTTACAATACCCAAGATATGGAAGCAACATAAGTGTCCATCAACAGATAAATGGATAAAGAAGATGTGGTATATAGACAATGGAATATTACTCAGCCATTATAAAAGAAATGAAACCTTGCCATTTGCAACAACCTGGATGGATCTAGAGAGTATTGTGGTAAGTGAAATAAGTCAGACAGAGAAAGACAAATACTGTATGATATCACTTACATGTGGAATCTAAAAACCAAACCAAACAAACAAAACAAGCTGAAAACAGACTCATAGGTACAGAGAACAAAAGAATGGTTGCCAGAGGGGAGGAAGGTGGGAAGGTGGGTGAGATAGGTGAAGGGGATTAAGAGGTACAAACTTTCAGTTATACAATAAATAAGCCACGAGGATGTAATATACAGAATAAGGAATATGTTCAATAATATTGTAATAACTTTACAGGGACAGATGTTACTAGAATTATCATGGTGATCATTTCATAATGGATACTAATGTCAAATACTATGTAGTACACCTGAAACTAACACAGTATTGTACATCAAATATATTTCAATTAAAAGTGTATATATAGTCTTGAATGAATGAAAACAATACTTACTCAACACTATGGCATTCTGACAGAGCCTCGTCATTGAGGATTTATTCTTTCAACCCTTCTTTCTTAGCTGTCTCTTTAAGGCAGTTTCCTTCTTTTACCACATGTCCTGGCTCCTTTGGGACAGGCAAATTCTTTGGCTTACCCAAGTCTGAGCTCTAAGTGTGCGCACATGGAGCATGCAGAGCTGAGTGTGCACCTGGAATATCAAGGCCCTCAGTGGGTTTGGAGGGAAGCCTGCCACACCTCCCAGCCCCATCCAGAGAGAGTGTTCCGGCTGCCCTGCGATTCCTGAGAACAAAGTTCGAAGTCACAGAACTGGAAAGGGTGTTAGTGACAGAGAGTCCAGCCCAGCTCTCTCAGAAATTATAGGCCCTACTCTCTGCTCCTCAGACCAACTAGGACAGGCAGGGGGTCTGACTGCTCCTTAATTCTTCGTAGCAATAGTTTCTCCCCTGTTTCTGGGCTGTCATCAGCTCCACTGGTTTTGAACAAGTGGCCAGAAAGCTTGGGGTACCTTCCAAAGCCCCCAGGATGGATGAATGGAACGAAGGTGGAAGGAAGAAAGGAAGGAAGGGAGGGAGGGAGGGAGGGAGGTTGGGAGAGACGGATAAATAAAGGGGTAACCCTAGCCGGCGAGGCTGAACCCCTCGCGGAATCCACCCACTCCCATACCGCCCTCCTCCTATTCTCAGGCCGCCGCTCTTGCGTCCCACGTCCGGCTGGGGCGCACCGAGGGAGCATGCGGGGAAGCGTTTGACTTGGCACGGGGTTGGGGGTAGGGCAGCAAGGGCGAGGGGAGGTGGGGGAGGAGAGGTGGGGAAGGGGAGGGCCTGGGAGGAGGAGGAGAGGAGGGGCGCGCTGGGAGCCGGCGCGGCGGAGGGGGCGGCTGGCGCCGCGGGAGCTGGGCGCCTGGCTGCGGCGCGGGCGGGCAGGCGGGTCGAGGGACGCGATGCCGCCGCCGCCGCCGCCGCCGCCGCCGCCTCCTCGCCGGCCCGGGCTGCGCCGCCGGGGCTGAGCCGCCCTAGAACCGCGAACCGAGCGGCCGCTGGGCGCGCCAGCAGCGCAGGAGGATGGGCTGCGGCGGGAGCCGGGCGGATGCCATCGAGCCCCGCTACTACGAGAGCTGGACTCGCGAGACGGAGTCCACATGGCTCACCTACACCGACTCGGACGCGTCGCCCAGCAACGCCACCCCGGACAGCGGCCCCGAGGCGGGCGGCCTGCACGCAGGTGAGTGCGCCTGGCTCCCGCAGACCCCCAGCGCTGGGAGGCTGGGCACGGGAGGGGGAAGCGGGAGGGACGCGGGGCGCCGGGGCAGCCCAGTCCCCCAGAGAATTCTGTGCGGAATGGTGTTGGTGGTGTTGGGGCCGGGGGAGGAGCGGGGAGGCGGGAAACAGACAGCACCTGTCTGCTGACAGACTGACCGACCCAGGCCCAGGGAGCAGGGCCAACCAGAGACCCCTACAAAAGGCTGAGCTAATCCCCTGGGCCTCGCGGAAACCCCGCACCTCTTGGCCTCCGCCCGTGCCTGCTCATTGGCCGGGGCCGGGTCGGGTGGGAGGACAGCCCGCGCGGCTCGCACACCTGTCCCGCCGCCCACCCAGGCTTCTCGCCCGCTTGGACTCGCCTCCGCTGGATTTTGGCCCGTTTCCTCCTCTGGCCGCCTGGACACTCTCTCCCTTGATTTATAGACTGGTCCAGATTACCTGGGTGGTTTCTTCCTCGTGGCTTCCGCCTTTTCTCCCGTGTCTCGGGTTTTGAAAACCAGAATCCTAGTTCAGGACAAAATAAACAACGGCCGCCCCATCACTAGTTCTGCACTTCAGCTTACTTTTCAGGCAGTTGTTTCATAGCAAGGACTTCCTCTCTACCCCACGGTGCCTCGATGCTTTATACGAGGCAAGGCATGAAAGCGGATTACGACTATAAATTAAATACTCTTACCATTCTGGCAGAAATCTGATAGAAGGATATGCAAAGAACTTTCTGGACCTGTCGCAAATCACATTTTGTTTTTTCTTTTAAAGCAGACAGTAATAATTGTAACGTAGAGATGAAAACAGACTGTTGCCACAGACTGACCTTTAATCATAAACTTGTTAGTGACGTTAAACGGAAAAAACCTCACTGCTTATTACATGGATGTTGTCAGAAGCCAGATCAATATTTGTATAAGGATGTTTTAACTATTTCCCTTTATGTTGCTGGCATTTTTTAATATTGAAATCTAAGATAGAAAATGAGGTTAATTTGAAGAATAGCATATATTATAAGGAGGAGGAGAGAAATGTCAACTACTCTGAACACATCAGTAGCCCTAAATTCCTGCCTCCTAAATAAGAGCTGTCACTTTAATCCTGAGACTCTGTCTCCATCTTTTAGGACCAAGCTGGGTCCTTTTTCACATGAACTTTGTGATTTTTTTTTTTAAGTGAGAACCGTCAGTGAAAATTGTGCAAGGCATAATACTTCATTTGTCTCTAATTTTTCTGACTCACAGTAGCAATCATAGTGGTTATTTCGTATTGCTGACGCTTTCAGTGGGCTTTCAGATGGTGTTGGCTGAATTCAGTGTCAGAATGAGGATAAGACACGAGCCTTCAAAATAGACCTGGTAAATGTTAGATGTAACAACATTTCCTGAGGAGGTAAGGTACCTCTCAGGAGACACTCAAAAAGACCAGAGCTGCACTCCAAGGAAATAAGGTTAAAAACATCTAACGTGGAAAAGAACAAAGTACAGCTTCAGGGAATGGTTGCCTTGGTGACTGGAAGTATATAGTGTGTGTGTGTACATGTGTATGAGTGTGAGAGAGTTATTATGGGATGACTAAATATGTACATATTTATTTGTTTCCAATGCTTATTCATTTATTACTCTGCCATCCTGAGTCATGTCCCATCGTGCATCATGAGATCTGGTTCCCGCAACAGGTGGGGTCCGGGACAAGCATGCTCATTCGTGGTACCCTACCAAACATGGGACAGCCCTGACAGGCAAGTGGTGCTGAAGACCTGAATCATTCACAGGAAGGGCTCGGCTCCAGTCTCAGAACAGCGCCCTGAAATTGGCAAGACACTTAGATGGGCAGGATCATTTCAATTCCCTAGAAATTTCCATCAACCTCAGAGGAGAGGAACGTTTCTGAAGATCAAGATGGACTCAAGCTGTCCCTGGAAATCCACTGGCATTCCCTTCAGAGCCTTTAGAAAAAATGCCTTCTTGATTCTTGTGGATTTTCCAGACTAGCAACTTGTCATCTTTGGTCAGCGTGGGTCATTGGAGAAAGCGACAGTTCTCCTGGGTTTCAGCCGCCCTGCGAGATTAGCCAGCATCCTTTATTTTTTTCTTCCCTCCTGCTCCCCCAGCCTCACCCACCTGCTGCCAGTGCACCGCCTGTGAATTCAGTTCCAGTCTTCTGGGGGCCACCCACTGGCCCGCAGTGACTGTGTGGTGATGAGAAGCCAGAATGCCACTTTTTCCTGTTTCCATCAACTCTTTTCTCATGGGGGGACAAAAGGAGAAGCTGGATTTAGGGGAATTCAGGTTGTAAAATCATCACTAAGGCCTTCATGACTAGAACTCTAGAGCTGCAGAGGCTCTCTGAAGGTCATCTGTTGAAGGCAGATGGGATTCAGTTAAGTTGCCCCAGTCTGCACTGCACAGCCTCCCAGTCCTTTCACAGTTCTTACCCCCAGCTCCCTCAGTCCTCAAGAGTCCTTTCTTTCTGGGCCCCTGGTCACTCTCCTTTAGTAGCAAATTGAAGCCCCTTTCCTTCTAGCCCTCCCAACCTCAGGAGCTCTGAGGGCAGGGAGTGGACTAATGCATCTTTCTATCTTGTGCTTAGCCAGTTACACTGTGGAGCCCCCAGCTGGGATTTTCTTGAACGCGTAGGCTCTCCGTTTAACCCTCCCCTCCCCTGTCAGCTCTTCCTAGATTCCCTCCCCCTTTGCTCTGCCTTGCATCCCTTGCTGCCGATGTTTTCCCACTTGAATGAGTTTAACCTAGATTCCTCCAAGTGTCTTTCTGAGCCCACAGCTTTTCTTTAACAAGTGCCCCCAGCTTTGCCCTACCCCATTGAAACCCCTGGCCCAGCTCAAAGATGCCATTTCTTCTGTAGCACCACCACCCCTCAACCTCAACTCCACACCCATATCTACCAAAAGGCCCTATTTAAGCACATCTGCTTGTAAACCTCATTTCTATTTCTCTTAGTCCAGTCCAGATTGAGGTCACATCACGTGACAGGTGTTCAGTATTTGTTGAATGAATTCTGCATTTCACCGCAGGAAGGAGGCATGTTTTTCTGCCAGTTCCACAAAGGAAAGAGTTTCTTTCCTTCTTCTCCTTACTTACAGGATCCTTACATGATCCTGAGCCTTTGATCTCTGTGTTTGGGGATCACCTCCACTTGCCAGCAGAATTCGATTTTTAGATTTAACTATTATGTAGGCTGGAATTAAAGACCTAACTGAAGCCGCAGTATCTGATATCCATTGCTTCTCTGTGTCATCGAAGCCTGTCTCTCTGTCACAGGAGGAAATTAAATTGGTCTGGTGTGATTTAGTTCTCATAAGATCAGTTTACTGGATTGATTTTTACCTCTGTGGTCTGATGGAGGTCTCCTATGGAGAAAGGGGGTCTCTGAGGTTGCTCTGCCCCAGCCTAGCTCAGCCATTCCATACATGAATAACTTCCTAGCTTCACCTCAATTTAATCACGAGTCCCTTAAATTACATCCTTAAAGATCCCCTTTTCTTTCTTTTTTTTTTTAAACCTAGTATAGGACATAGACTATTTTAGATAGTCTATAGATTTTTTCTTTTTGGCTTCATTGGGTTGGGTCTTCGTTGATGCGCGCGGGCTTTCTCTAGTTGCAAGCGGGGGCTACTCTTCGTTGTGGTGCGTGGGCTTCTCCTTGCGGTGGCTTCTCTTGTTGTGGAGCACGGGCTCTAGGTGCGTGGGCTTCAGTAGTTGTGGCACGTGGGCTCAGTAGTTGTGGCGTACAGGCTTAGTTGCTCCACGGCATGTGGGATCTTCCCGGACCAGGGATCAAACCTGTGTCCCCTGCATTGGCAGGTCCCTCCCCTTTTCTACTGTTAGTATTTTTCTAATGTCTCTAGAGAATAAAACATTTCAAATTTCTCTAAAATGCTTCTACTTTATAGTTTTAAATTGCTATAATAAGTGCTTTAGTGAATGCAAGATGGAAGATTGCAGAATTAGACTCACAGCAAAATGATTTATCTAAATCAATTGAAATATGTCAGGTGAAATGAAGGGCACTTAATATTACCATGAGCTAACATTTATTGATATCTTACCAAGGGCCAGGCGCTATGCTTAGTGGCACTTTATGTAAATCATCTCTCTTAATCCTCACGAGGGGGGATGAGGTAGAACTATTGCTATCCTCCTTTTGCAAGTGAGGGAATGAGGCTTAGAGTGTGCAGTAGCTTTTCCCGATCCAAGACTCGAATCCAGCTTTTTCTGAATCCAAAGCCCGCACTCCTAAATCCTGCCCTCCTGGTGAATGGGGGGATCAACTATAGAATTCTTGATTTGACAGTGGATGGAACTCAAAGTCTAGTGTGGTCTCTTGGCAGTCTAGTCTGGTCTCAGCACAGTTTTCTTCCGCAGCATCTCTGAGGAAGTGATATCTCTTCCCTAGGGATGGAGGTCTACCCATACCTTTGTGGAGCAGTTTCCCTTGCAAGAAACTCTTCCTGCTGCCTTGTAATTTCCACCTGGTCTCACATAGATCGTTCCTTCAACATTTGAAGATTGCTGTTGTATTTTCTCTCACTGTTGGTCCGCCAGGCCAAACACATGCAATTCCTTCAGTCATTTCTCAGACTTCTGTGGGACTGACCATATTCCTACAAATGCACCGTTTGGTTTGTCAAAGTCCCTCTTGATACAAGGGACCTATGCTGCTGACGTCAGCTGAAGAGCCCAAGGAAATATGAGGTCTGTTATGATGTGGACACTGACCCTTTCCCGATGCAGGTAAAACCAGGTTAGGATTTGTTTGTTTTCCTGCTGTTGTTGTTGCCATATTACCTTGATGACTCACATGAAGCTTGCAATTAGTTAAAACCCTTAGATCTTTCTTTCTAGTCACATTTAAGTTCTGTGACATCAGTGACATTGTCTGGATTTCACTCTACATACCCAGCACCTGGAACAGTGTCTAGAATGTAGGTGACACTCAATAAATGTTTGTGGA